TCATCGGAGCAAATCACTCTTGCTCTATGAACAAAGCACCTTTTTAGATTGCGTTTTGTATTTCAAGGGCACAAAGCTGAGAAAACGTGTTTACTGACCCGTTGATGTAGGTTTTCTATATACACTTCTTCTTCTAATTGTGCCATCCTATTTTCTGGTCATAAAGATGTCTAAAAATGAAATACTAGAGTCATTTTCTTTCTCAATAGTAAAATTTATTGCAGGATGTACCTCATTAAATTTATCCAGGATGTTCTTTGCTTCCTTCTCGTTTTTCATGTTAAAAAATGTGTCATTCATGTACTGACAATAAAATTCGAGTTCATTAGTAACATCCTTCAAAGGCCCATTTTCTCGTTTCGCACATATGTCTTTGTAGTCAGTCAGTTTGTCGTTCGATACGCGTCAGAAACGTGGCCAGCCTGTCAAGAAAAGCACTTCCAACAAGTTACGAACTTTTTGTTAGCAGCCGCCTACTTCTCTGGCTCTATAATGAAGATAAAAATAGTCAGCCAGCCAGCCAGCCCCCAGAAAGAATTAGCGACAAGAAACTCTGGCTGTCGATGAACAAACCAACCAAGAGCCGATTAACTCCATTATGGATAAGATTGTATTTCAATAAATCACACAGTATTGTACAGTAGTTTTAACTGATGGGGCGGAATCATGCCCCATCATATATATACATATTATTTATTTTTATTATAGCTTGATTCCACACCGAATTTTCCGTACAAGTATGGAATTTTCAGCATGTGATATCGGTAGTCTAAATTTCGCAGGCCGACCATAGATATAAGGTGTGCGTCTGTGTGGGCTCGAATCCCGGACCATGTGCATGGTCGGCGAGAGTCATAACCGCTGTACCACCGACGCACAAATGAATGAAGGAAAAAAGTTGTTTGGGTAACTTGATATGATTACGCACAATAGCTTGTGCTCGAAACGTCATCACTTAATATTACTGTACAACACTGTGCGATTTATAAAAATACAATCTTATCTATAATAGAGTTATTTATACTCAAGTTTTATACTTATATCAAGAGCCCATTGCTGGATGGACATCCTCAAAATTTCAACGAAAAGTTTTTAAACTCGAGTCATAACAACAACAACAAGAAGCCAACATCAAAGACGACAAGAAAATTTATTCTACCATACATAAAAAATATCTTTGAAGTAACACCTGGAATCCAGGATAACGCGCACTTCGTCCTATTTGGGATTCGTCATCTGGGTGTGACTGCATTTCCCAGTGAGTGATGATGTTCTCACCACCAAGGCTCGAACCCAGTGCCCATAGTTTCAAACACCAAAGCGTCACCAACTAAACCACTTAGACCACGAGAGCCACCTCTTGTGCTATAGGCCATGTTAATTTAATTTAATTTTAGATTTTCCCGTCGATTGATTGGACCGAAGTGCTTGATCTCAGGTTGACATATCGGCTTCTTGTGCAGAATCTGAGTGGCATTTAAAACTATGTGCAATGGGTTCAAGTCTCGGTGGGATCATCATCACTCACTGGGAAATGCAGGTACATGCATATGACGAGTCCCAACTAGGACGAAATGCGCATCCTGGATTCCACTGCTAGTCACTATCCACAAATTAAATCCTAATTACATGCTCAGACATCGTTGAAGCATCTGCACAAGAAGCCGACATGTTAACCTGAGACCGAGCACTTCAGTCCAATCAATCGACGGGAAAATCTAAAATTCATTTAAACACTGAAATTGATGCCAGAGAATTCCTAGAAGCCTGGTACTCAAGTGAATCAGCCAGCGATTAACGAACATATTAATAAGGACCAAATTTACTGGCTAATAAAAAGCAAATCACGTCACAGGAAACTTCGAATTACAAGTCAAATTTGCAAGCAATACCGGTCCCGACAGTGGTCGCCGGGAGATAAAAATTACATCATCATTTATGGAGAATTTAAATGAGTTTATTTTATGCTAAAAACTGAACAGAAGATCTTGCTTAGAAGTGGGACGACGAATGTGTGGCATTTAAACCAGCCAGCTCGTCAGAGAACACAACTAGTTCAGAAACAAACAGTATTTTACTATTTGCTGAATAAAGCTGAATTCACATATACATACTGTCTACTTTTTCGTTTATTTCTTGAGGTATTTCCGTGTTATTATGTCATGAAAATGAGATAACTATCACTGTAAACAGTCACAAATGCATTGGACATATACATACATGCATATATACAGACACACAAAAATTCTCTTGAACAGATCATTTTCACAAAAAAGGTATTTCATCAAATAATCACAATAAGGATTGAACACATATTATACACATGTGTATGTGTGTGTGTGTGCGTTCGTGTGACTGTGTTTCTTTAGTACATTTTTTTCGCCTCTACACATACTGAACTTTATACCAGACATTTTATTCAATGTTTCAATAGAATTTTTGTTTTACTCTGTACTAATGTAATTAAATCGATTACTAAACTAATAGCCTTTCGAAATAGAATAGAATTGTCAAGGATTGGTTTTGTAGGAATTTTGTATTTGATTAGTTGGAGGGTTTCATCATGAGCTGAAATCAGTTAGAGAACCACTGGAAAACCCACCAGGGAGTACTGGATAGCTGTCTTGTCAGCCTAATTTGGGACTCTTTACAGTTCGCACCCCCTGCCACAGTTTGAACACAGGATATTCTGGCTACAAGACCAGCAAGCTCGTAGGCCACTAAGCAGCCACCGGGACCGGATCCAATGACCAGTCCATGAATTCTAACTTCTGCTAGCCAATTCGTGACATAGCGCCACTACTCCACAATGTCTTCTTCCATGAATTACTACCTCACCTTCACAACCTGCTGTATCCTACTTGTCGTGGTTTCTCATTAGAACCCCCGGAGTAACTACCTAAAATTTTCTTTTCTTCATTATTTGATGTTATTTACGTTTGTATAAAATTATATAATACTGATTGATCGTGTTATAAGTAGTTGTACAACACTTATCAAGGTGACCTAAACACAAGACGGCGGTTTCGTTAATCTGCGGCCGATCTTATCAGCTGTTTAATTCAGCTCAGAGAGTCGAATCATTTCAGATCACCTGATTTCTGTCTTGCTACGTAGGTGAACTGGTGGCACCATCACTTCTAGGTTGATGTAAGAGGTTTCTAACTACTCATCTCAATAAATCAATGAGCAGTATATAGAGTCATGTGTATCCATGCTTGTTATCTTATCAAATTTACGGTACTGAACAGATCACTCATATTGAGATCTGAATAGTTTCGATTTCCACAGGAAACTGTGTACATTGTGAAGTACTAACCGATTTGCAAATTATCAGTTTGATCCATTTTACTTTTACTTGACAGGATCAAGATCCAACCTCTAACACACAGTTTTGTTCTGTTTTCTATGGTCTAGTGTCTGGACTAATCAGAAGAACGCTGGACAGGTTCATGAGTGCAGCTCAAGTGTGGAGTGACGAACTGGGCACTTGACCAATGGCGACAGAAGTGGAGGAAACTGCACAATTCGGAAGAGAAAAGAGTGATCTAACGACGTTCTGTTGAAAGACTATTTATTTCATTTAGAATGCAGAGGGATCATGAGAGTAATCATAGAGTGGAGGAGATTTTTAGCTCAGGTGTATGATTCCGGTGTAGTTGTGTTCTCTGACCTGGATGGTTAACTTGAAAAGTCTTCATTCACTTACCAGACAACATTCTCAGAGCATACTTCAGTTTGAAGTAAACTCCTAAAATTCTCCGAGAGTTGATTAATCATCTCCCGTGGTGGTAAATTTGAACGTAATTAACTGTATATTTTCTCATTCTTGTATCGGTATTGATTGATTCCTTGATCTGAATGTTAACCTTGTTGTTCATGTAATTTCCTTGGTAAATCATGTAAATGTTGGTGTGTCTGTTGATTGCAGATTCACATGAGTACCAGACTTGCAGAAATTCTCTGGCATTTTTGGCGTTTCCTTTGTCTAAGATTTCAACAGTATCCCGATCGAATCGATGTCTATGCTTTCCTGTATGCAGTGATATTAGGGAGTGGATATCGTGACTTTTGACAGCTAGTTTATGTTCATAGATGTGAAGACGAAGAGGGCTTCCACTTTGGCCAATATAAAGTCTTTCACAGCCGTCTCAATTTATCTCGTAGATGATGTCGGTTTCGCCTTCTTTCTCTGTTGAGTCTTTTGGCTGACGTAGAGTCAACCGAGTGAAGTGATTTTGCTGGTTTATGGATGGCATAAATTCCAAAAGGTTTAAATAGTCGTGCATGGATTTCTGAGATGTTCTTTATATATGGTAAGACAATTTTCTTTGTGTATTCCTTAAGGTAGGAGTGCTGCAATGAGTCCCGCCTCTGTTGAATAATGTTTGTATGCAACATTTTTTGTGTGCTATTGAGTTGTCGCTAATGTAATTTAAAAAAATTTTGTCTGTGAGATGATTTTCTGTATACTTGAGTTTTAAATTTTCCTGTATGTATCCACCTGACTAAGACTAACCATGGACACCAATTCGACTGGGATACTGTTCTAATCCTAGACACAGGAATCATTGAAAAACGAGAAAATTTCTAGAAGCCTGGTAATCAAGTGAATCGGCAATCACCAGACACATTGACATGGATAAGATTTACCAATTCATTAGAAGGAAATCACATGAACAAAAGGTCAACTTTCAGATCAAAGAATCAATCAATACGAGTACAAGTGGACTAGAGCATTAAAAATTACACAAAAACAGTTAATAACGTGCAAATTACCACTGGGAGAGATGACTAATAAACACCTAGGGTATTTTAAAGGTTTACTTCAAATTGAACTATGCTCTGGGGATATTGTCTGTTAAAGCAAAGAAAGCTTCTTAGCTAAACCATCCAGCTCACAGAATACAATTGCACCAAAAATACTGATCATCTTTGTTACATTTGATGAAGGAATCACCTAAGCATCTATGGTACATATGGAAACTTACAGTAGTGCATGATAACACATTGAATAATGGACTGCTATAAGGATTTGATAAACATAAAAATACAACTGTAAGGCCATTGAAGATGAATTCGTACGTCAAGATTATTGTTCCTTCACGGAACTGGTTTTTTTCTCTCTTTTGGTTACAGGATTTCATCATGAGCTGACTTCGGTTAGAGAACCATTGGAAAACCAGCACCGAAGTATTGGACAACGGTTTCGTCCTAGTTTGGGAGTCTTCACAGTGCTCACCCACCAGGGATATTTTTTATTGTTTACGAATGTTGAAATGACAGATTAATCCTGTTGAAGACTTATTCCGATCACTGAGATGGACGCAGCTGTCATACAAGGACATTGAATACAGTATTGTTTAGTCACTGTTATCTTACAGTGTGATGCAGGCATCGATATTTGTCTGATGCACTTTTTTGTGACGCATGAGAAAACGTTTAATCTTGAATATTCTACCTGCCATTGACTATAGACACAGACGATGATGATGATGATGATGTTGGTGATGTCGAAGGCGGGATTGGGAGAGCAAGTGAAACATTTACCCCCTCTAAAATCGAGGAATATACATATCGGATCATAGGAATTATTAAAAAGACGGTTGTAACGGAGAAGATTTTCTTTTCAACGAAGTCATCAACTAGGCGGATGTTCCAGAGCTTTTTCCGGTCAAAGGGCGAATTAATAAAATTACAAAGTGTAATAAACACGAAAATCAGAATTTAAAAAAACCCAGTGAATTTATAAGATGTTCTGTTACCAAACTACATACACCCTTGCGTTCAGGACAGTCAGCTGTATATAAAATGTTCTCCAAAGGCATATACAAGATTCGATCAAACCTCTCAAAGGGAGTGAAATCAAGGCATCTGGCTGGGAATAGCTGAGTTACTACCGATCCCAAAGTTCAAGCCGACACTACGTGTTCAAAAGAAATATGTCCAACCTATCTGCCTCACTACGTCTCTTATCTGAACTTTCTGCCTATCTTGTAATTTTAACGTTTTTAATCTCCATTTGCACAAACAATCAAATTTTACTGTAATTATGACCCTACTATGTCTTTTCTACCCGATCTTCTTGTTTATTACATTTTTTGTAATTTCATCAATTCGACCTGTGACCGGAAATGGTCCCGAAATTTTCTCACCAATTTACCATAAATACACTGATGTACAGCTGCCTAGTTAATGACTTCGTCGAAAAAAAAAACATTTCGTCGCCGTAACCGTCTTTTTAATAACTCTCAAATCAATGTGGAGATCTGCTGAACTCAGTATGAACAACAAAATTTGGATTTACAATATCAGTGTCAGTGATTCTCTATGCGTCGGAAACTGTGGTGGGCGCATCAAGAAAAGCATTTTGAAGAGACCACCTCAAACTCTTGTCTACAGCTACCCTAGCTCACTTGATACTGAAGATCAGATGACTAGCCAGAAAGAATCAGGAATGAGAAAACTGCTGGAACGAACAAGTCAGGAACCAGTCAGTTATCAGATAGGCAGGAGGAAAAGGAGATTCATGGATGGATATGATGCCCACTTAGAAGAGGGTTGAATGAAACCACACGTCAGACCACCGAGCAGAACCCTTATGGGAAATGACAAATTGAGCATCACTCCCAGTGGGATAGTCGAAAAGATCATGTGAAGACGAGATCATCAACAGCTTATAGTCAATCATGGAGCCAGCTGAAGAAGACTGCGTAGAATACAGTGTGAAGTGTGGATTTGCTGTTAAAGAACTATGCGACCTAAAGGAAATCCTAAGTTTTGAATCCACAAGTAAAGGTAACATAATCCTTAACACGCCTTTCGTTTCTTATGATTTATAACTCATCCTCTAGGTGTGCCTGCATCTTCAGTGAGACTCGAGTAAGCCACTTTAAACGTCAAAGCATTCTTCAAAACGCCCCAAGGCCGCAACAGTAAAAGGAAACTACAAGTACAGACACACACACACACACACACGCACACACAAACACATTCCACATAATCAAACTCACAACACTTAACTGTATATTAACACAAACAACAGTAAATTCAAACATTTCAATGTAGCCGATAACTTTTAAAATCAGAGTAAAACTGTATGTAATTCTCACCTGAATTAATTCTATCACAAGTATTTCATCATTTTCATCTGAAATGAAGGATAAACATATAGAAAATTAAAAGTAAAAAGTTTATAATTACATAAAATTACTCTGATGGTAGTGCAGAGGAGAGGCGGTGAGGTAATTAACTTAACAGTAGAACAAAAAGAGTTTTTCCTTACTGAGTTCAAAGAACAAAGAATGTGACAGTTTTAGTCGTTACGTTTTCTGTGTCCTTTCACACACACACACACAGATCTATCATTTATCTTCCTGGCTGTTTATTCGCATAGTCCTTTATTCAATTATCTTGCAGAGGACAGATGCACACATTTATATGTATATATTTATATACTACTTACAAAATTTTGTCAGTAGCACGCGTCAAAATAATAAATGTATTTATTTTTTCAATAGAAGAGAATTTGATGATATTTTAGATAGTTGGAGGCAGTCAGCAGGAAGCCTTGGACCTAGGTCTCGTGCTAGTTGGCACTCATCAGCAAGGCGTATCTGCAACTACCTTGAAGGAAGTCATGTCCCTTCTGAGATTCTAACCCACGGCACCCAGTGCAGCAGTCAGAGACGTTACCGCCGAACTATTCGGGCTCGCGACTGACTTCCTGTAGGGCTGCAGTGGGTATTTTCACTGGACACTAGTAACTACTGTGACGTATCCAGTCCGAATAGCTAAGTGGTAACGTTTCTGACTGCAGCACTCACTAGGTGACGCGGGTTAGAATCTCAGAAGGGACATGAGTTCCTTCAATGTAGTTGCAGATACGTCTTGCTGACGAGTGCCAACCAGCACGAAACCTAGGTCCATGGCTTCCTATGCCCGATTGCCTTCAACTATCTAACATCATCAAATCAATGTGCATCGTGATGGTGAGCTACCTAGAATGGTGGCCACATTGCAAAAGCTGACTGATAGAATTCAGTTTGCACCAAAGAAAGGACTAGATATGTCACACTAGTTACTAGCGTCCAATCAAGAAGAGAATTTATTATAATTGAGCAGCCTCCAAAACAACAATCTTCTCGAACGTGACATAAGACGGAAGACGAGCTACTCGAAAGAGCCTTCACCGTCTCAAGTAACAATTCAAGCTAATACACAACAATAATGTCATCTAGTGAATAATAATATACCTAGAGATGTAGAAAGATAGAAATCAATCAACATATTAGATAATGATCCAATATCACTTAGCAGACAGTATACGAAATAAAGATAAGATCAACTAATATTGATTAATATAGGCAGTTCTTCAGTTTTAGATATAAAGGAAAGTTGAATGAAGCTATTAATCCCCATGGCTGTTGTAAAATTGATGACATTCATATAGAAATCAAGTCAGAGGTAAAGTATCTCGGAGTAATTCCCTCTTCTGACCTATGCCTGGTCTTCCCATGTCTTAGCGATTTCCAAAAAGATATTCCGTCTGACATTTTACATTAAAAAGTTAAGGCACTCAGACAAGACTCAACCGCTCCTTCTCTTACAGTTTGTCAACTCCGGCATCTTACCTATTCTTTTTTACGGTTCACCCTTATTCTTTCTTAGGTTGCTTAAAAGAAAGACTATGCCAAACTTCGTAGGACTGTAAGGACAGTCAATAGGGTGAGTGGTATCTGATTGGCCATATCGCTGACATCGTCACTGATAGGCACTCAATTTCATGCAATAAATTTGATAAAAGGATTTCTTCAGACTGTCAGCAACCACTTTATCCGCAGCTCCAATCTTGTATCTCTTCAGGGGAAACAAGAAGTCATTTCAAAAGACTTTATGCACGCACGTCTAAGTATAACAGTTACACGATACCATAATTTGGTACGTAATTTATGTTATGAAAATATAGTGTCAGGCACAAACTTACTAATCTTCTTTCGATCACGGTGCGCTGTCTATTGTTGGTATTAGATGGTTAGAGGTAATCGGCAGGAAGGTCTAAATACACACACACACTGTACTAGTTACTGACTAATGTCCAATCACCAAAAAAATATCCAATACAGTCAATCCTACAGAAGGAGGTCAATCGCGAGCCTGAATAGCTCAGTGGTAATGTCTCTGACTGCAGGCAGCACTGAGTGATGCGGGGTCGAGATCTCATAAACGACAAGAGTTCCATCAAGGTTGCAGATACGCCTTTCTGACTAGTGAGTGCCAACTAACACGAAACCTAAGTCAGGCAGTGCATCCTGTGGCCGATCGCCTTCAACCATTTGATATCAGTAATTCACAGTTCAGTGCACCGTGATGGTGAGCCACCTAGTGGAATGTTGGCCACATAGCAAGCTTGACTGATAGAATTCAGTCTGCACCAAAGGTATGCCTAGACACATTACACTAGTTACTGACTAGAGCCCAATCAAAGAATTACCTTCTTTCCACTAGTAAATAAACAATTTTCTCCATGCTTATTTATATCATCAAGTTTTTCTATTATATTAATAGTACTCTTGTTTTTTTATAAAACTGTAAACACCATTTAAGCTCTGTGAATAGTGTTATTTTTCCTTTCTCCTTTCACCAGGCTATATCAAGAGGATATAACATTCTATATATTATATTATTATTGTATCCTTTAGTTCCTAGAGGAACATAGGGCTTCAGCTGCGCACCTCCATTGCCTTCTGTTTTCTGACAACTTTTTCACCCTGCTCCAGGTCTGCCCACATGCTTTCATCTCCTCCTCGCATGAGCTCCTCCAAGTCACCCTTGGAAGACCAACTCACCGCCTCCCTTTCGGGTTCCACTCGAGCGATGGCTTGTCTAGTGATGTCACTTGATGGTTTCCTCAGCGTATGGCCAATCCATCTCCATTTCTTTCTGCCTATTTGTTTCACAATCGGTTCCTGATTGGTTCGCTCCCAGAGATCCCTGTTGCTGATCTTTTCTGGCCATCTGATCTTGAGTATTGAGCGGAGACAGCTGTTAATGAAGGTTTGAAGTTTGTTTGAGATGCTCTTTATGACTCGCCAAGTCTCTGATCCGTATAGTAGCACTGACTTTACATTGGAGTTGAAGATCCAGATCTTATTTTTGATGGTGAGTGCTGTTGACCTCCACACAGATTTGAGAGTAATGAAAGCTTGTCTTGCTTTTCCGATTCTGGCTTTGATATCCCCATCAGTTCCGCCTGTAGTTAAGACGATGCTTCCCAGGTAGGTGAAGGAGGCTGTTTCTTTCAGGTTCCTCCCATTTATGCCGGCTGATTGTTGTCTGTTGTTGTTGTTGTTGTTGCTGTTGATGTTGGCTAGGAATCTTCATCACCTCTGTTTTATCTATGTTCACTTGAAGTCCCATCTTTGATGCTTCTTCTGCCAACTTGTTGCTTTTCACTTGCATATCTTCCAGTTTGTGGGAAATCAGACATATATCATCGGCGAAATCCAGATCCTCCAAGTCTTTTGTGTCAGTCCATTTTATGCCTGTTCTTTCGTTGGTTGCCGTTGTCTGTCGCATTATCCAATCGATTGCAATCAGGAAGATCATTGGTGATAGTAGACAGCCTTGTCGCACTCCCGTCCTCACTTCGAAGGCTTCCGTAATTTTCCAGTTGTGGATTACTTGGCATGCAGCATTGTCGTATAGCTGTTGGATGAGATGTATTCTATAACAAACCTGTTATTATTATCATTATTATTAGAGTTATTATTCTCATTTTGTACTTTGCACATTTTTAACATTATCCATACCGTAAATGTAGAGAAATTCCTCTGGTTAATTTTCTTTTAATTTTATTTATGTTTTGAGTAAATTAGATGCAATATTGTGATAATATACTGAGAATTCTATTCTGTATTATAACAATAAGCCCGACTAGCTCAGTCGGTAGAGCATGAAACTCCTAATCTCAGAGTCGCGGGTTCGAGCCCCACGTCGAGCGCCAGTGCGTCGGTGGCACAGCGGTTAGCATGTGCTCGCCGATCACGCACATGGTCCGAGGTTCGATCCCCGGCCGACGCATACCTTTACCTCACTTAGCCAGTAATAAGACTGGTAAAGAGGGAAGGTTGGGCATGAGGTTACCAACCCCATCCCGTAAAAATAGGTACTGCTACAGAAACTCCAAGCCTCCAGCTTGAAGCCCTATGTTCCACTGGGAACGTGAAGGAAAATAAATTATAACCATAAAACTACGGGAGATTTACAAAACAATGGTAGCGAAGAAAAACGGAAGTACACACACACACTAAACATACCTCAGATTGTTTATAATCATTGTGTGTTTGAATTAAACTTTGAATTCGATGCAGACGACGATATAAATCATGATTAGTTAAGTCACTGACTTTATCTCGATTGTACAACGCTTTGAAACACTGAAAAAAAGAATGACAGAGAAAATATGGAAGCTACTAAAATGACTAACTACGCCGAAGGATTGTTATACAAGGCTAATTCATGTGATTGTATCTTCTACGGGTCGACGAGAGGCACTGAGAGAGTAATGCTATCCGTTACAGTAGTATCACTAGAATGGGATAGTGAAATCCGATGAACTACACTTTGCTTATATAAATTATGTTGTTTTGTACACCTATTAGTCGTTAAAACCACCTTCTTCACGAAATCTATCCTTCAACTAAAGTTTGAAAAGATTCAGAGTCTTGTGAACGCGATGAATAACATTTTGAGGATACTTGGAATGATTCGGGTACCCATCTATCTAATGGATTTGACTGGTGTATTAAACACGTCACTCGCTTGGTAATTCGCTTCATCCAGTTGTGTCAATTGTCTAGGAAACTTCTTCGAGAGTATAAAGCATGTTCGTTTGACTTATGCTAAATCTATCCACTTATATTGGATCTATCTTACTTTAGAATTTAATCATTGCTGGAAGTAGATCGGCATAGATTACAGTTGTGTAATTACACTGTGCTTTTTTTTCGTATTATTTAACGATTCTCATGGAAACATAAGAGAGTGGTCAAGTCTTATAGACTGGCATTAATATTATAATATTATTATTCCCTTGTTATCCGAGTGGAACATGCGGCTGGCTTCAACAACACATCCCCACTTTCTTCTATTGTCTGGAGTCGTCTTCATCTGGGCCGACGATTGCCCATAATCTCCTCTCCCCCCCCGCCCCCCAAAAAACGACTTCCTCCATGTTACCATCTCTCCTACCACCCACTAGTCGTTTCCTATTGGGATTCTACTCGAGAGATAACCTGAAATGAGCGCGATTTTATTCGATAGCCTGCTCAAGGTATGCTCGATTTATTCCCCTTCATTTTCACCCACATATATGTTGAACAATTGTCTCTTGGTTGTTTTTTTTCTCAGCCACAGTTTCCTCCTGCTAATTCACTCTGGTCAGCCACCTGGCTATTTTATCTTCAACAAGGAACCAATGAAGCGGGCAGATATTGAAAAAGGCACGTAAGTTGTTGGAAATGCTTTCCTGACCAGATTAGTAAAGGAGGTAACCTGTGTCAAATTTCTCCCGTTGATGGTGATTGGTGTTGGTTTTTGTTATTGTTGTGTTGGTTGGCTGGTTGGTTGGTTGGTTATCTTCATCAGCTGTGTCTTCTCTATGTTCACCTGTAGTCCTGTCTTCGCTGCCAGCCTGTTTTTCCAGTTGTTTTTTTTTGGTTTTCGCCTGCAAGTCTTTGAGTTTGTGAGACATTAAACACACACATCATCCAGGCGCGAATTCCAGATCTTCTAGAGTCTCCTTCTTCGTATGCGTCTAATGTCATTCTGTCTTCTCATTCGCATAAAAAGCCTGACGCATATAATCCTGTCCAATACAGTTAAAGGTGTCATCGGTGATAAAAGTTTGGGCTGTCTTGTCCTACTGCTATATTCACTTCAAACGCCTCACTGAGTTTTCTGTTGTGAATCAACTGACACGTGGCATTGTGTTATGTACTGTTGCTGAGTGAGTTAATAGAGTTTTCCCCGTCGCCAATTATGTTATATGTACTCGTCGAGTAGTTAATAGTCCTGACGCAGAAAGAGGAAAATCAGAAGTCCACCAGGTTTATGATGATACTTGTATTTTCCAGACAAGGAAAATAAATGTCACACAAGAGTGTGAGTGAAATGGTACGAAATGTACGGACAAGTATGAACAAGTGTCTAATACAAAAGTATATATGAAAATGGCTAAAACACATGAACCAATAAGATAACATCTTACCATGATTGGTTGTAATGTCATGTGATACAAGGTCATACATGTTTATTTAGTTAGTGGACAGACAAAAGCATATTGTCAGTTATAATGGAATATTGATCCATATACACATGGTAAAATATAACAGACTGTCAAAAACAAAACACACATCACGTGGATACGTATCACATTGTCATACAGCCAATTGTTGAATAAGGCTGATAAAGACTCGGGCATTCACACCGTAGTGTTGAAGCGGCTTCCGAATTACTTCTCTGCCAGCGCCGTCTGTTGAAGACCTTTTCAAAGCCGATGAATTTGAGGTACAGTTTTGACTGCCATTCTATGTTTTTTCCGTGATGATAGTGATGCGTAGAGTTGCAGTTTGATCAGCAAATAATTTACCTTTCCTGAATTCAGCTTGTTCCGGGAGGAGTTCTGCATCCAGTACATGCGTTATTCTCTCCTAGAAAATTCGACTCAGTATTATACTTGGCGTGGACAACAGCATTATTCCACGTCACTTCTTGTACAAACCTAATTCGCCTTTCTTTGGAAGCTTAAAAAGATAGCCAGCCTTTCTTCCTCTCCTTCTTTCCAAACTCTCTGCAATAATTGCGTGAGCCTATTTGTCGGAGTCTCTAGGTCCATTTTCAGTTCTTCGGGGGGGGGGGGGGTAGGGAATTCCGTCTGGTTCTGCTACCTTCTGGACTAGCTTTCAGTAACTTGATTGTATTCAGAATTTCTGCTTTCGTTAGCAAACTTACGTCCACTGGCAGTTCTTCGCGTGCTGTTGTTGTTGGTGGTGTATTTCTGGGCGGGTTGCAGATGACGGTCGATTCGATAGTTCTTTGAAGTGATCAGCCAATTGTTTTATTTGTTTCACTTGGCATGACTGATATATGTATATATAAACTTAATGCTTTTCTACCCATCATTTAACACAACATTCTAGGTGAAAGCAATTGAGACTGTTTTGTAAAAAATGGAAAGGAAGTCTGATCAGATCAAACAGGCGGGAATTATGTTTTTAGGCTATAGGACATGTGGCTTGCGTACACTTATTCTTTATTTTCTCTACTTTTTACCGTACTTTCATTTGTAGATTTAATTATGGGTTCATATCAGTTAGAGAATCACTAGAAAACCAGTAGGATGTCCTAGATAGTTTGAAACCCTTGATAGGATGTAACCAATGGTGTTTGAACTCCTGGACCTTCTATTTACAAAGCGACCTTATAGACCATTAAGTCACTGGGACCAAGTTTACTAGCCTATGAACTCCAGATCCAATTCGCGATATATGTGAAGCGCAACCGCCAGTCACTGTCAAAAGCGAGTGACTATTCTCTTAATAGACTTAGTGGACCCCTGTGGTTGCGAATTCTCAATATTTGTTTTCGTTTAAACAACAGTGTGATTATATAATATGGCTAGCTTATCACCAACTGTCGACGAATTTCATCTCTACAAGAGATACATCGATGATACTTTCATTATTTGTGATGAGTATTGTGATTTTAAAAAAACCTACTTCAAATCTTCAATAACGTCCACCCAAACGTCGACTTTACACATGAAACTGAATCCGACGGAATGTTCCACTTCCTCGACGTCCATCTGACAAGAAACGTCAACAACTCTCTGAAAATGTCCATATACAAAAAGCCTACATGGAATGGACAATTCATCAACTTTCAAAGCTTCGTGCCCCTGAGCAGAAAGAAGAACCTGATATATGCTCTTTCCTCGAGGATTCGGAAGATATGCAGCGAGGAAGTGGTTGAAGAAGAACTGTGTAATCTTCGAAAAACTCTGATAGAAAATGGTTTCCCACCCAGGTTCATAGACAAGAATGTCAAATCTAAGAAGACTTCCGAACAAGTCCATACCGTTCGAAAGTAAGTACTTGTGCTTAATCTAGAATTCAAAGGTGATATTGAAGCAGAAATCCTTCGTAAACGCCTGTCCAAATCTCTAAGGAAAACATACTTCGCCGCGAGCTTACGGCTGACGTTTCCTGCAAGAAACTGTTCAGCCAGAACGCGAAATACAAGCTGTCGCATTGGGCCACCTCAACGTGCATATACCAGTTTACTTGCTCTTGTGGAGCTGAGTTCGTTGGCTGTACCATGCGCCGACTTGAAAAACGCGCTCGTGAACACTATCCAGCCTGGCTAGTAAAAGGAGATCAAAAGCGTGTATACAGTTCAGTGACAGAACATCTGGTCAATTCAGGACATTCAACGCCACTCGAAAAATCCTTCAAAGTAATATACAAGATTCAATCAAACCTATCAAAGGGAGTGAAATTAAGACATCTTGGCATAGCCGAGGCACTAGCTATCCAAAAGCTCAAACCCACGCTTTGTATCCAAAAGAAATACGTCCAACCCCTGTCCCTTCCATGGCCATCATAAACAGGTAAATTTATTTTAGAAATGACCATCCCATCGCCTTTCTTATCTAAACCTCCTGTTTATTCATGTTATTTTTAAGTTTTTCTTAATCCCTGTTTACACTACCATATTTTCATACCCGAACTTCGTGTTTATTTTGTCATTTTACTATTTCTACATATTTAATCCCTGATTGCATAAACAATTACTAGTCACATTAGTATTTTTTATCCAAACATCCTGTCTACTTTTGTTATTTCTACATTTCTAACCCTAATTGCACAATTTGTCAATCTTCTTAGTAATTATGATGCTACTTTGTTGGAGTTTTATCCGTCCCCCTGTTTATTATGGCATTCTAATTCCTAATTGTAATTTTTATTAATTTGACCCTTAACGGGAAATTATTCTGTAAGTTTTCCATCCATTTCATATAAATACACGAATGTACAGCTGTCTAGTTGATGACTTCGTCGAGAAGAACATTTTCTTCGCTGCAATTCTCTTCTTAATACAATCATGGTATGAGATGCAACTAAAATGTTTGTGGTTATATATCAAATGGCAGAACAAATAATTTTTGTATGTAGAATCATTCATAGGTTGTATAGATGTTGGAAGGAGGTGTAAACTTATGCGATTACTAGGCGATGAAAACATTGCATAACAATGATGTGAAGTTTGATAAGACAGAATATAACACTGAAAAAAAAGATTCTGATTTAGAATGACAAGTGGGACAAGTGAAATAATACTGGAGACAATTCAAAATTAGAATAATAATACTAACGAC